TTGGGATAAGATATAAATATGAATAAGAATTTAGACAATGAATAAATTATGGAATATATGATGAATTATGATTATCTAATGGTTCTGATATTGAATGAATTATTATAATTGCTGACAAAGATAAATTGGGTGATGAATAAATTGAGTAAAGGAGGAAAATAAGAAATAGTTAAATTGGTACAAATGAAGAATGAATTGAATGATTATTAGATTTTGAGTAATGATGATTTGGGATTTTATTGATTGTGGGAAATATTTATCAAATATGAAAAGACATTTGGGTGGTAAATGGATTCAAATATGATATAGATTATGGATAATTTATGATAATTAATTTGGGGATTTATTTGTAACAGTGATTATGAAATTAATTTTGCGAAATTGATGATTCAGTAAAAATGGAACGTTAGCGGAAATAATATTGTGAAAACAGGATACTAATGATATAGTGACATTTACATGGTAATTTGGTTTAAGGATTATGATTATGGATCTATTGTAATTTAGACATTGTAAAAAGGTTACTGATAAAAGAACCTGGCTAATTTGGACATTTGGAAAATGATTACTTTAACTTAATTATAAAAATTACAATGAGACTTTGGACTAACCGGGACTATAGAGGTTGAATATGAGAATGAGTGGGGCTATGAATTAGCAAGTATATACCCTTTATTTGGACGATAATTAGAATCGATATTGTCAATCGAAGATACTCTGAAGTAATTGCTCAGAAGATTCAAATTAAAATGGGATAGTCCATAGATGAAGCCCAGCAGGGACAAGTTATAATGACTACCAGTTAATGATAATAAGGAGAAGTAGTGGATCAAGAGGAAATTGTTGGGGTTGGCTACAATGACCTTATAATGGTTCAAACGATTGTTCAAGTAGCGTTCAATGTTTAATACCTTGTGGACTGTACACATGACGATTAGTGATAATGGAGGGTGCAGAATTAGTTATAGTGATCGCTATGCCTATCTAAGCGATAACGAGATCCCCGAGGAGCTTTCAAAGTTTAATGTTATTAGGACCATCCTAGGCTTACGACTTCACGAAGATGTTTGGATTAGATCAGTGGCGTAGCTAGGAATTTTCCTTAGAGGGGGTCCATACATATAAAAGCCTGGAGGCTTCGCCCCCCAGACCCCTTTTAACGGGCCTACGGCCCTTTTGCCCGGCCTTCGGCCGGGTTTATTTTATAACCATATCTTCGATAATATATATTAAATATATTTTTTAAATGCATCAATAATATGTTATTATAATTTAGTAGATTATTATCAATGACTTTATAATAATACTATCCAGAATAATTTCAATAGTAAAATAATATCCTTGCACAACATCAAAACCAGAAAAATATAAATATTAATGGTATTTATTTGATATAAAGTCACTTTTAAGTCTTTTTGGAATGTATAATCTAAAAATAATTTTTGCTCTGGAAGGGGTCCAAACCCGAAAACCACCCCCGTAGCTACGCCACTGGATTAGATAGAGGAGGTGGGGGAAATAAGGAGTGATTGGCTATCTAACACGGGATTAATAGACAAGAATCATTAATGCACATCATATGGTTTTGGAGATGTGGACAGTTCGAGTGCTATGGATTATGTAATGAGATGAGGATGTTTATGTTGGATGATTATTGCTTTATTATGGTGTTGTTACCGGATTGATTATGATTAATATAATTTGTATAAATAGTTTATTTGATTGCACTAAAGAATTACATAATTCCCCAAGTTATATATATAAATTATATAAATATATTATATGCTACACATATAAAAAAATATTAAAATGGGATCTTAATCTTACTAGTGTAATTAAAATTTCAGTGTAGATAAACCAATAAAGTGACAATTGCCACATTCGATATTATATAACTTTGATTTATTTTTGAAACAAATGGGTTAAAATATAAATTGTAAGCTTGTTAAATATGGATTTCATCGAAGATTACCATAAAAAAGTTACAATTGTCATATTCGTTATTTTTGAAATTTTGAAATTTTTTCAGGCAAATGGGTAAAAATATACATGATAAAAATGCGAAATTAAGATTTCCATGAAGATAAAGCATCGAAAAGTGATAATTATCATATTCGTTTGTTTTTTAATTATTTTCGATTTTTAAGGCAGATGGAAAAAATATTCGATGAAGATTAACCATAGAAAAGGGATAATTGCAATATTCGCTATTTTTTAATCTTCTTTAAAGTAAATTGGTAAATATATAAATTGTCAGTGTTGAAATGTTAGGTTATTAATATATTTTATTTTTATATTTACAAAATTTATAAGTATAATCGGTCATTATTTTATTATCAAATGTTACATATTGAAATACTAATTTTTCTTTTCTTTTCCATTTCATAATATATATAATATATATAGTATATATATATATATTATGTTTTATTATTAAATATAATATTTCAAATAAATAACAAAAAATCATAACAATTTTATAATATAACATAATATGAATGATAAAAATAAGAATTAAATAAGTTAAGATAGAAATAGAACGATTTTAAGATTTGTTAAATTTGAATAATAAACATTCAACATTAAAATTTCAGTGAAATTGACCACAGAGAAGCAGAAATGCAAATGTATATATACATATTTAATAATATTCAATTATTAAACAATATAATATTAAATAGACCAATTTCTATAGTTATATCTGATAGTTTGAACTTGATTTCTTTCAAAAACCATTTCAGGCTGACTGATATTGTTTGCACCATCGGCTTTAAACTAATTGCAAACTCTGGGACTCTTGTGTTTTATTGTAGTGCGCGGGCCTTGATAACGGTATTGCAAGAGGGGGAAAGTATTTCGCTTGGGAACAATGGAGCCCCTATCTCTACCTTAGTCATAGGTCCAGATACTAAAATTTAAAAAAAACTAATAAAAAGGTTTATTCTACCGACGAATTTCGATGAAAGTCGTACAATCTGTTACGATGATTTATCTACATTGAAAATTTAGAAAAGCTTTAGTATTTTAGTAATAATATATCAGAAACAATGGGCGGATATTTTTTCTTCCCAAAATCGTAAATTACCAAGCGGATTAAAAAAATTAAAACAATGAATGGGTGGGTCTGTAAGTTAAAATAGGCCTATTGCAGATCTCTTGTACCCCCCCCCCCCCGGGTTATTGATAGTCACTACCTTAAGGTATTACCTATCAACTTGTATTTTGTTTATTTTTGATTTGGATAGGTACTACCAAATTTATTTACAATTTATATTTTAAAAATTGTGATTTTTGGAGCCTCTATGGCCTAGTCGACAAGAGCGTCGCTTACCAATCCGGTGGCTTGAATCCCAGCAATGATCATGTTTTTTTTCTTAATCTAACTTGGTGGTTCCCTCCTTGGGCGGATAATATATAGGAGGCCGGACTCGATCATGTGATACCGTTATAATATATGTTAAATAATAAGAGTCTTATAGTGCGCACAAATTGAGCGTTTGCGTCGTTTGCGTTTGCAGTACGTTTTTTAACGCAACGCATCTTTGTTTAAATTGAAAGCAGTCGTTTTTTTGTTTTAAAATTGAAACGTGATTTAATTTTTATTAAACAATATTGATTTCTTTAGTTTACAAGATAAACAACTAATTGCTAATTTTAATTATACAAGGATGAAGAGATCATTATAATTTACAAATAATGCAAATAAAATAATTTAATTACATTTTCAATTCTTTAATAATAAAAATGTACACTAGAACATGTAAGAATATTAAATATCTTATTAAAATAATATAATCATACCATCTTGCCCAATTTTATTTAATTGGTTTTTGAATTTTTTTATTATAATCACATAAGATGATGTCAAAATAAAATATTGTTAGCTCAATAAAACATAGTAAGATATAAATAGTCAATATCTTAAAAAATCAAAGACTATTATTCTGTTTATATGCATAATATTTTATTTTATTTCTAAAGATAATATTGGCTAAATTATATGTCAATGAATTAAAATCCTAGAAAGGCTTCAAATTTTGATCTCAATAATTAATTATTATGTCAAAATTTATAATATATATACACTATTAGATTTTAATTTTAACTTCTTCCAATCATGTTACTCCTGATATTTTTATTTATTGGATTTTCATAACTGTTTACTCAATCTCATTCTTTCATATTTTTTTAACGCTTGCCGTAAAAAAATCCAATTTGCACAATACCATTTAAAATGCATTATTAGCTTTTAAAACGAAGCGTTGCAACGCTCAATTTGTGCGCACTATTATTACATTTTAATAAATTTTGGTCGGTATTTAGCAAATTTGTTTGGTATTTAAAAAATTGCTATACGTTGACTTGGTAGTGACTATCATTAACCTCTCCCCTGCCTAATTCAATTGTTTGGATACGTTTTGTCGCTTTACGAAAAGGTAAAATTGGATTTACAAGCTAAATACCATTTTTTGTCTACTTTTCTTTTCTTCTCAATCTTACTTCCTCTTTAGTCATAAACCTATTACTGACTTGTTTTTGTCAAGGCTTACATTAAAGATGCTAAACTTAAACTTAGCCACCACCCACCCTTAAAGTAATTAAATTATTTTTACAGTTCTTGGGTATAAGCTTTTGTTTTGCCCATTTCTTTTTTTCTATTAGCCTATAGACGTTTAAGCAACAGTTCTCGGACTGTTGCGCGTACAAGTACGTGCGTCTTTGCCCTCTAATATGTGATAGAACAGGGCTACTCTATGTTTCTCCCCTAAATTAACTATCCAGTTTGATGGATTAATTGAGGGAGAAAACCTGAGCGTAGCTCTGTTCTATCGCATAACCAGAGGGCGAAAACGCTTTTATCACGTATCACGTACATATTTGTTTAAATATACTTTTGATTGGTTAGTTTTAAAATATTTTTTATTTTTCGTCCTTTCTCTAATAACAATGTTCATCAATAAAATAATTAATTTGATTAACAGCTGCCAACATTTATTTTATCATTGAATGTTATAACTAGTTAATTTATTTTTTTAGGTCTTTAAATTTTGTTAAATTATCCCATTTATTTTTTACATTTTGTGAATTAATTTAAATACTTAATTCTATTCTACTTATATTTTTTCAGGTAATTTTTATATTGCTATATTTTTATATTATTATAAAGAATTTGTTTTCATATAGAAATTATTTTATCCCTTTTTTAATATTAAAATTATTCTACAGATAATTTTTATTAGCTTTATTTATTATAATAATGAAATACAGCAATGTCGCGCAATCAGAGCTTGGTTCATCACTAAATTGACATAACTGTAAAATCAATATTTGTATATAATCTTTTAAGTAGCATAATAATGTTGCACTATTTTGCACCTATTGAGTAGACCATAAGCATTTTAAGAATGATATTGTTAGCCTTATCAAGCTGGGAAGTATTTGTATGAGAAAAAATTTTTTTTTAAAATTAAATTGCTAAAAAGGGAAACTAAAATAAATATATAATTGCAAAAAATAAAATATTAGATAAAATAAGTTTTCTAAGGACCCTAGTATTTACATGATATAATATCACTTTTTTTAGCTGCTACCGATTAGAAGTTAGTATAACCCAAATCCTTCAATCTGGGCTGGACAACCTTTACTAAATATTTTTATAGGCCTGCATTAATTTTTCAATTTTTTATATAAATTTATGTCTGTTTTCTTCATAAATAATTATTATATGCCAGGTTGGATAACTTGTGCAAAATTATTTTACTATTTTTGGACAAAATAATTATAGATCAAACTGAAATTTTTTTTTAATAATTTCTATAAGCCAGGCTGGGCAGTGTTTTGCCTACATATACTGATATTAATATGGTATTGGTTGATATTCAATAATGATACTAAAAAAATTAGATTATTTTATATCTAGTGTTAACTTTCAAAGTTTCTATTACTCCTCACCCCAATATTTTTTATTATTAATTTATAACATAAAAATGTCTCACTTGATGGCATCTATGAATGGCTGCACCAGTCCTATCACTAGGACTTTATTTGGTCCTTTTCGAATTTGTGCTGACCCAAGGATCTTTCGCTCTAATAAACGATTACTCGCTATTAGTGTTTATTATATTAATAGGGGTGAGCGTTTATTTTTTGATTATAGGGGGTTGACTAAGAAATTCGAAATTTTCTATATTAGGTGGTATGCGAGCGGTGAGACAAGCTGTTTCTTATGAGTTAATTATAAGATTTATCTTTTTACTGATAGGATTAGCGGTAATAAGTTATGAGTTTGAAGAATTTATAACTTCTATAAATATTTATTTATATATATTTATATATTTATTAGTTTCTTTTTTGATCTGCTCATTAGCTGAGATAAATCGAACTCCTTTTGATTTAATGGAAGGTGAGTCTGAGCTGGTGTCAGGGTTTAATGTTGAGTTTTACTCAGGATTTTTCGCCCTAATTTTTATAGCTGAGTATATTTCAATTATGTTTAACAGTTGTGGTAAGATTTATAGTGACTATCGGTTTTTCTAGATTATTTTCACTTATATTTTTGTTTATTCGGGCTTCATATCCGCGAATTCGATATGATAAATTAATAAAGTTTTCGTGGGGGGAGTTATTACCTTATATTATAATTATAAGATTATGAATTTTAATGGTTTGGTAGTTAGGGTACTATAATAAGCTTTTTGATAGAAAGCTTTAGTTATTTAGTAACTAGTACCGGTTTTGGAAGGCAATTACGCCAGGCCTTAAAGGGAGGGGATGCCGGAAAATAATTTTAATGATATACCCCCTTTTAAAAATTTAAACTATTTAAAAATTAGATTGCAAATCTTATATTGCTGATAAAGTATCAGCAAATAAGAGGAATTATTAATTGCCTTCCAAAAATTAAAAATACGTATTTTTAATTTTTGGAAGGCAATTACGCCAGGCCTTAAAGGGAGGGGATGCCGGAAAATAATTTTAATGATATACCCCCTTTTAAAAATTTAAACTATTTAAAAATTAGATTGCAAATCTTATATTGCTGATAAAGTTTCAGCAAATAAGAGGAATTATTAATTGCCTTCCAAAAATTAAAAATACGTATTTTTAATTTTTGGAAGGCAATTACGCCAGGCCTTAAAGGGAGGGGATGCCGGAAAATAATTTTAATGATATACCCCCTTTTAAAAATTTAAACTATTTAAAAATTAGATTGCAAATCTTATATTGCTGATAAAGTTTCAGCAAATAAGAGGAATTATTAATTGCCTTCCAAAAATTAAAAATACGTATTTTTAATTTTTGGAAGGCAATTACGCCAGGCCTTAAAGGGAGGGGATGCCGGAAAATAATTTTAATGATATACCCCCTTTTAAAAATTTAAACTATTTAAAAATTAGATTGCAAATCTTATATTGCTGATAAAGTTTCAGCAAATAAGAGAAATTATTAATTGCCTTCCAAAAATTAAAAATACGTATTTTTAATTTTTGGAAGGCAATTACGCCAGGCCTTAAAGGGAGGGGATGCCAGAAAATAATTTTAATGATATACCCCCTTTTAAAAATTTAAACTATTTAAAAATTAGATTGCAAATCTTATATTGCTGATAAAGTTTCAGCAAATAAGAGGAATTATTAATTGCCTTCCAAAAATTAAAAATACGATATTAAAACCTTTAGTTTATTTTTTTGTGTGTTTATCCTTCTACAAATGTTAATTTAATGATAAACTTTTAAAAGTGATATAAATTTTAAGTAAATAATTTAAGAAGAAAAATTAACAGCAATTTCTTTTTATTTTTTATAATTAAATTTCTGATCAATTTTTAAAATAAATCAATTCATGAATTTAATTTTACAAGGACAGAACATTGTTATCCTACTTATGAGTTATTACCTTCCATAAAAAAGTGTTAATTACTTTTTTTTAAAATAGCATCACTCGTTACTCTCAAAATATATATAGCCATTTTTATTATTTATTTTTTTCAGATATTTACAAAAACCAAAGCAATATAATGACTGAAAATTAAAAATATAGTTATTAATAAAATTTATAATTATATTACAATACATTTTCTAATGGGCATGACTAAAATACACGCCCCTACGCCCCCCCCCCTATGAAAAAAGCATAAATTAAATTATATTAATATAGAATCGTATTTAGTTTCAAAAGATAAGTCAGAAAATGTTTTTGATTTTAAAAAAAATGGTAACATAGTAAAATTAAAAAATTTTTCTTTTTTACATCATTAAAATACGCGCCCCTATGCGTCCCCTATAAGCTTAATTTATAAAAAATGAACGTAGAATCATATAGAGCTTATTAAAAGGTGTAAAAAAATGTTAATATTATAGTTTATAACTTTTTATAACCTAGTAGACTTTGGAAAAAACACTTAATTTCTTCTATTTTTGACTTAACTAAGCGCCCCCTACGCGCACCCGTTAAATATACATTATTTTTAAAAAATGAATACAGAATCATGTATAACTTTTCAAGGAGATTCAGAAAATGGTATTATTTTTTTTAAAAAATATTTTTATTATCAAAAAAAATTTTTTTGGACTAAACTAGCGCCACTACGCGCCCCTATCAAAGAAGCTTAATTTATAAAAAATGAACGTAGAATCATATAGAGCTTATTAAAAGGTGTAAAAAAATGTTAATATTAAGTTTATAACTTATTGAGATTTGGAAAAAACACTTAATTTCTTCTATTTTTGACTTAACTAAGCGCCCCCTACGCGCACCCGTTAAATATACATTATTTTTAAAAAATGAATACAGAATCATGTATAACTTTTCAAGGAGATTCAGAAAATGGTATTATTTATTTTTTTTAAAAAAATATTTTTATTATCAAAAGAAATTTTTTTTGGACTAAACTACGCGTCCACTACGCGCCCCCTATCAAAGAAGCTTAATTTCATAAAAAATTAAAGCATAATCCTATTAGAGCTCATTAAGAGGAATCAAAAATATTAATATTAAGTTTATAAATAAGTTTATAACTTATTGAGATTTGGAAAAAACACTTAATTTCTTCTATTTTTGACTTAACTAAGCGCCCCCTACGCGCCCCCGTTAAATATACATTATTTTTAAAAAATGAATACAGAATCATGTATAACTTTTCAAGGAGATTCAGAAAATGGTATTATTTATTTTATTTTTAAAAAATATTTTTATTATCAAAAAAAATTTTTTTGGACTAAACTACGCGCCCCCATATCAAAGAAGCTTATTTCATAAAAAATTAAAGCATAATCCTATTAAGCTCATCAAGAGGAATCAAAAAATGTTAATATTAAGTTTATAAATAATTTATAACATATTGAGATTTGGAAAAAACACTTAATTTCTTCATTTTTTGACTAAATTACGCGCCCCCCCGTTAAATATACATTAATTTTTAACAAATGAATACAGGATTAGCATTTTGCCAATTAAAAAATATAATTAGAAATATCGAAATTTTTTGGTAAATATAACGCTACTTATACAGAATTTAGCTTAGATTATCAATAGGATCTGGTCAATGAAATTGATTTTTTCCAAACATGCTATAAATCGATAGGAGCCCTCGTTATTTACGTTATAAGTTTTCAAAAGAGATGTTTTTTCTGTAAAATCTTAACAATTTTTTATCAAAAGACACTAAAAAATTGCTTCTTTGATAGGGGGCGCGTAGTTTAGTCCAAAAAATTTTTTTTTGATAATAAAAATATTTTAAAAAATAAAATAAATAATACCATTTTCTGAATCTCCTTGAAAAGTTATACATGATTCTGTATTCATTTTTTAAAAATAATGTATATTTAACGGGGCGCGTAGTTTAGTCAAAAAATGAAGAAATTAAGTGTTTTTTCCAAATCTCAATAAGTTATAAATTATTTATAAACTTAATATTAACATTTTTTGATTCCTCTTGATGAGCTTAATAGGATTATGCTTTAATTTTTTATGAAGTAAGCTTCTTTGATAGGGGGCGCGTAGGGGCGCCTAGTTTAGTCCAAAAAAATTTTTTTGATAATAAAAATATTTTTTAAAAAAAATAAATAATACCATTTTCTGAATCTCCTTGAAAAGTTATACATGATTCTGTATTCATTTTTAAAAATAATGTATATTTAACGGGTGCGCGTAGGGGGCGCTTAGTTAAGTCAAAAATAGAAGAAATTAAGTGTTTTTTCCAAATCTCAATAAGTTATAAACTTAATATTAACATTTTTTTACACCTTTTAATAAGCTCTATATGATTCTACGTTCATTTTTTATAAATTAAGCTTCTTTGATAGGGGGCGCGTAGTGGCGCGTAGTTTAGTCCAAAAAAAATTTCTTTTGATAACAAAAATATTTTTTAAAAAAAATAAATAATACCATTTTCTGAATCTCCTTGAAAAGTTATACATGAATCTGTATTCATTTTTTAAAAATAATATTTAACGGGGGCGCGTATGGGGCGCTTAGTTAAGTCAAAAAAAGAAGAAATTAAGTGTTTTTTCCAAATCTCAATAAGTTATAAACTTAATATTAACATTTTTTTACACCTTTTAATAAGCTCTATATGATTCTACGTTAATCTTTTTATAAATTAAGCTTCTTTGATACGGGGCACTTAGTTTAGTCAAAAAAATTTTTTTATGATAATAAAAATATTTTTTAAAAAAAATAAATAATACCATTTTCTGAATCTCTTTGAAAAGTTAAACATGAATCTGTATTCATATTTTAAAAATAATGTATATTTAACGGGGGCGCGTAGGGGACGCGTAGTTTAGTCAAAAAAAAAGAAATTAAGTGTTTTTCCCATTGTCAATAAGTTATAAATTATTTATCAACTTAATATTAACATTTTTTGATTCCTCGCTTTAATTTTTTATGAAATAAGCTTCTTTGATAGGGGGCGTGTAGTTTAGTCAAAAAAAAATTTATATTTTTAAAAGCCCACTAGGTTATAAAAAGTTTGAAAATATGATATTAACATTTTTTTACACCTTTTAATAAGCTCTATATGATTCTACGTTTATTTTTTATAAATTAAGCTTCTTTAATAGGGGGCGCGTATTTTAATGATGTAAAAAAATTAATTTTTTTAAATTTTACTTACCATTTTTTCTTAAAATCAAAAAAAACATTTTCTGACTTATCTTTTGAAGCTAAATACGATTCTATATTAATATAATTTAATTTAAGCTTATTTCATAGGGGGCGCTTATTTTAGTCATGCCCTTTTCTAACTATTTTAATATCATTTTAAAATTTTAATCAAAGACATGTTTAACTAAAAAAGCATTTTAATTTTGGTAATTTGTTAAAAATAATTAAAGAATTATTTTTATTATCCAAAAATATAACTAATTTATCTTTATAAAATTTCTATTTGTGTATATTTTTTAAAATAAAGATTATAATTTTTTAACTATTAGGCTAAATAAAATTTAAGTTATAAAATGCTGGAACATAATTTTTTAACTGATTAGGCTAAATAAAATTTAAGTTATAAAATGCTGGAACCCTTTGACTTCCAGACCCGATGGGGTGAATGTATCACTGGAACCAAGGACTTGCTTTGGATTATACTTGTGTAGACCTTTGTCAGATCCTTTCAACTCCATCATTAAACATAAAGACAAATGAATATGGTTGCCTAAATAATATATTTGTTCCAATAGTTTCAGACCTGTACATCTTTTTTTTAGGATTTAAGAAACTAGAAGTTAATCCTTGGGGAAAAAAATCATAAATGTTAAAATATTTTTTATAACCCATACCATATATATCTTTTTTAATTCCAAAATCTTTTTTAAAAAATTCTAATTGAAACTTTAAGTTTTAAAATTTTAAAGATATCATTTTTAAATTTAAAAAAATTAATTTGGACATATTTTTATTTTATATATTTAAAAAAGCTTATAATTTATTCTACTATAAAATTTCAAAAGCTTGTTTTTTGATATTTTGGATTTAGCCTTTTAAAAAAAATCCAATTTATTGTTCTATTAATTTATAATATGGGAATTTTTCTAACTTTTTTTATATGTGTGTTAAACGGCTCATTTTGAGCCGATTTTTAAAAACGGCTAACTCAATATTTTATTAGGGAAAAATATCATGCAAGCCTTAAGATTTTGCTCATAGGTGGCACAAAGGTTTGAACACCTATTAACGAAACCTCGAGGCTTAGACAATATTTTTCTGGCTTATTGAGTTAGCCGTTTTTAAAAATCGGCTCAAATCGAGCCGTTTATAACAACACTATGTGTACATGTAAAATAAGACCTTTTTACTGAATATTAAATATATGATTATGATTAATTGGTAAAAAGAAATCCAATTTATAGTTCTATTAATTTATAATATGGGAATTTTTCTAACTTTTATTATATGTGTACATGTAAAATAAGACCATTTTACTGAATAATAAATATATGATTATGATTAATTGGTATGATAATACAATTTTAAATTTTTATTAGACCTTTCTTTCTCCAAGGTTATAAAATATTATTTACATGTATTAATAAACCTTATTTCAAATATTTTTTTTGCATCAGTAACTAAATTTATTTGTAGATGTTCCTTAATATTTGTTTTTGTAAAAAAAAAATTCAAACTTTTTTTGTTCAACCTAATTTCTTTTCTTTGAAAAAATATATTTTATTTTCCAGGAAAATGCATTTCCTGAAAGTTTAAATGATAAATTATTATAAAAAGTTAATACGCTATAAAAATATGATAATTTTTAATAAGAAAACTTGTCTAATTTGAGCTTTATTTTTTAAGAAGTCCAATTTAAACGATATTTTTTTAAAAAAATATTTCTCATATAAAGAAATTATAGGTAAATCCCTGTATAAATTAATATCCATAGGTCACATCGCCCTATAAAACGTAATTTTTTAAAATTATATGAGAAATATTAAATAATTATAAATAGCGGTGATGATTTACATCTGAGCATTGTCTCCGCGTGGATATAATAATCGAGAAAAAGTTTGCTAAGATTATTTAAATAAAGCGTTTCAACTTCAACCAATAATACTAACTTTCTTCAATTCCAGGATTAAAAATATTTAACTTTTATTAACTTATCAATAAATTGATAAACATCTCCCGTATATTTAAATATAATAAAATAAGCAATCCCAACCTAATCCGATATTTTAAATATATATTATATTTCTATGATGTTTGGTTGTTTGTTAATTAAATGAATCATATTTGGCTACAACGTATTAATAAAAGATTATTTTATAATCATTTTTAGGAGCTTTATCTTTTTCAGAGTTCATGTTTAATTTATTATTTATTGACCTTTAGGTAATGGTAATTTACAGAAGAAATTTTTTAAAAAACGTTTATAAATTTCTAGGAAAAAATAATAAAAATAATTTTAATTTATTTTTAATAATTTTATTTTAAACTTTATATTTAGGTAGAGGAAAGATCATCTCTTATGAAGAATTCTTTTTAAATTCCATATATTCCGCTCTTTATGTTAATTCTAAACTAGTAGATAACATTAACGTAGAATTAAATATTATCAGAGTCTTAGTACGAATTCAAATAATATTTTCCAAAAACTCTTCTACATTTTTGAATCGTTGATTATTTTATTACTAATTTGTATTAATCAGTAAAAGTTTCTTTTAAGATATCTTACTATCTCACACAAATGGATACCTACCTACACCCATCTCTTTGTCACCCGCTTTTGCGATTTTGGTGCTCAGGTTCGCCCTCTCTTAAATGCTCGGACTTCATGTATCCTATATTTGTCACTAATTCATCGATGCCCTCCATGATTTCGCCCTTAACAGAACTAGAACCCGATAACTCCAACGAGAACTCCTCAATTATTAATTCTAAGGAAGATTATTCAATTCATGCTATTACTCCTATACCCGACACTGTTAACCACAAAACAGAAACCATGGCTATGGAGAAGAAGGGCATACCGGGCGTGTCAAAAATATCAATCGATAACCTCATAACCACGCTAGAGCCCTTAGTATCCAAAGGGCTCAAATCGGTTTTAATTTTTGCCACGGTTCCGGACGAGCTAAAAGATGATCGAGGTACTGCCGCTGATTCCCTTCTAACTAACCCTGCCTTAAAAGCTGTTGGTTTGATAACTGCAGCCTTTCCCAGGTTGCTCGTAGCCTGTGATCTGTGCCTTTGCAATTTTACTAACCATGGCCATTGTGGAATACTCAAGCACGGCAAGTTATTTTCAGCTGTACAATCTGATAAGAGATATGACCTTGTGGATTTCAACGACAGGGATATTGACGTGGCAATGCCTAGCATCGAAATAAATCGTCCCGAAACGAAGACTGCCAAAAGACTCAAAACCAACTCTCATATCCTCCCGGTCCAGAGAGATTTTGTCGATAATTTTGGGTCGGTGACTCGCCTGGTGGAGATAGGGCTTGCATACTCCCGTGCCGGGGCTCATCTCTTGGCACCCTCGGACATGATGGATGGCAGGATAGGTGCCCTCAAGAGGGCCTTGGTGGCTCATGGGTTGCAAGCTCGCACGGCTGTCATGAGTTACAGTGCCAAATTCGCTTCGGCCTTTTATGGGCCCTTTAGAGATACAGTCGGGTGCAAAATCAAATCGCTGGTGCACAATACAGATCCCACAAACACCCCCAATGTGGATTCCTTACCCAGTACCCGGTGCTTGATTTCCAATGATCGCTCCAGCTATCAACTGCCTGTTGGTTCTACCGGTCTGGCTCTACGAGCATTGGAAAGAGATGTTCGTGAGGGGGCCGATATTCTTATGGTGAAACCTGCCACAATGTACTTAGACGTGGTTAAGTTGGCCAAAACTCGATTTCCTTCTTTTCCCTTAGCTACTTACCACGTCTCGGGCGAGTATGCCATGCTTTACCATACAGCCAAGGCCGGCTGTATAGACTTAGAAAGCGCCCTTGTAGAGACCGTTCTTTGTATGAAACGGGCGGGCGCCGACATAATTATAACCTATTTCACGCCGTTGTTATTGGACATTCTGGCCAAAACTTACAATCATCCCACTTATTCGGCTAATATGTATTCATCATGTCCCATGAGAACTCCCACGAGTTATGATAACTTGAACCATTCGCTTAACGGTGGAAGAGAGGCAAGTCCCTCTCCCGAATCTATGATTTCTTCTTTGGATTCTGGAATTGGATTTCATGTAGCTGTCGGTAATGGGTTGGGTGATTTGGTAGAAACCCATGAGGAAAATGGTAGGAGTAGGAATAGTAACAATGTTTCGCACCTTTCAGAGATGTTATTTTTGTAAAATTAATATTTTTTTCACGAAATTTTTAATATATTTGGAAACTTCTAACATTTTTTATTTGAATACTTTGTATCCGTAAAATTTTTTATCTTTCTGCGGATTTCGATTTTCAAACTAACAGCACCAATATATAATTGCATTTTAAAAAAAATATAATTATGGAATCGGCTTTAGCATTTCCCAATGGATGTTCTTGAATAAACATTTTATTAATAAAAATGCTATATTTAAACATCGTTGATATGATTAAATATCAGTCATTATTATTTCACATCCCACATTGATTTTTTCTATCTTAAATGGAAAAAAAATCCAAAATGAATATATTCCAAATTAGGCAATTTTTTATATCTTTTATTGATTACATTATACGAGTCAGTCGGCAGTATTTTTTTTTATAAACTTTATTTAAATTTTTTATTGCAGGAAATTAGTTAAAAAAAATACGGATTTATACCTTAAAAATTTTAAACCCAATGTTAGTAAGTATTCTAACTCATGTTGCTCTCTTTTAATCTACCTTTATTCGATTAATCTATTATTTGAATGCATTTGAAAATTTTTTTTCGAAATTTATTTTTATTACGCCGTTCGAATTTTATACTTAATAAATATTATATTAAATTATCATTTATATTGCTCATGTAAAACAATTGATCAGGTTGTTACATTTATAGAAAATATTTGCGAAATACTATTTATTATTATATATTAACACATTGAAGATCGCTATTTGCATAATTAAAATTATATTACGATGAGAGTATTTTATGTACATATGTTAGGGATAGCATAAATTAATTTTTATAATCACCCGTGTTTTTCTCCTTAAAATAGCGTGCATTTTAAACTTTTCATTCATATTCATTTTTCTATATTACGATTGGATAATAAAATAACCTTCTTACAGATAGAGGACAATATTTTTAATTATAATGGTTTTTAGGGCATTTTATCAAAATTATGATTAAAGTTTGCATTTAAATCATGTTTATATCCTAAATGTAAATTTTCCTAATGAATGAGAAACTCATCATTATGTTATAGTTTATCATGAATTTTATTTTTAAAAGTCAATTTATTTGAGATACCTAACTCCTACTAATAGCGGTCATTAATTAGATTGGAACAATGGGGTGTTTTTGTAATATCGGCAAAAAATGATGACAAAATTCGTCGACCTATTGTTGCAGGCCAAGTAATGTAAGAATGGTAAACATTAGAATCCTGCAGGGCCGCAGGTAGTCACGCCAGGAATAAAATATAGCTCTGATCCTTGGCCCGATATCAAATAAATCCCTCCATTTTTTGCATGATTGAATAGCACAATTATAAAGATAAGAAAAGTTTTTAAAAAATCAGGTGGGAAATGTGACATTTTAATATCCTATTTTTAATAAATGTAGAATTTTAACACAAAAATTGCACTTTATTATTAATTTATTTTTCACATTCAAAATTATATATATTAATAATCTCATAAAAAAATCTCCAACTCATTTCAAAAAAATCACACACTGAATAAAATATTACTTTTACAATAAAAACTTATTATTAAAAGAATAATAATCTGATTGACATCTCTTGAAAATAAATAAACATTTTTATTTTTCTCTTCAACATTTGCAACACTCAGAATGGTAGCCTATAACTTCTTTAGGGGTTGGTCTAGGTGGTGCCATATAAGAAAGGGTAATTAAAAAATTAAGTTTATTGTGAATAGAACAATAGCCTTGATTCCCTTGTATTATTATAGCTATCCTATTATTTTATATTTTCACAATTTTTGACTTATTACAAATCGGTATTTGAAGAAGCTGAGATATGGAGGTTTAAATTTATTTCTGCAGATAACTTATATAGAAGATACTATGCATAAAAATAGATATTATATCTAAATTTGAAATTATAAAGACAACGGATTATAAATTTATAGCTTACTTTATTTCGCCATGGAATAAATCTTTAAAACATTTTAACGTTATTTTCGACTTTTTATTCTCTACTCTCAACAATTAAAATCTATCATGATTTAATTTAAAATTATATTTCTCTCAAAAGCATCATTTAACTTGTAAAATATGCATCAAATGCTTTTGCTATTAGCATCCATATTTAAAAAAAATATTTTTGGTCTATTGAGTATGAAATAGCTTATAAAAAAGTTCGGTTCCATGTCAAATCTAAGAACCGCGACCAAAACTTAAATCTTTAAGAACGGGAACCACCTTTTTTAAAAAAATTTCGAAAAATAAACTATTTTAATATCGGTTCTAATGTTGTTTTTATTTTAATTTTAAATAAAATTCAAATTTTTATCTTGAGATTCAAAATTTTGATTTAATATTTGAAAAATTAAAAGCAAAAACTCCAACCTAGAAGTCGGCACGGACCGAACCGTAAAAATATTTTGCATAATTTGTTTTGGTCAGTCAATATTTCGGCCGAGCCGCGCCACCTATGCTCCAACCCTCCTAATTATAGAATAATAAAATTAGAATAGGGAATCCGATGTTACGAAAAATTTTAAAAGAAATATTTATTACCAAGTGGTAAAAGAGTTTTTAAATCTAGGCCCTATGCTTTTTATAAATGGGGTTAGAAAATATATATCAAACTCAAAAAATTTATTTCTATTTTAATGTTAAGCTTAATTATTCAGCAATAACTCTGATAATTTAATAAGTTTATTTATTATAAAAATAGTGTTGCAAATGTTTAATTAAAGAGAAAAATAAAAATGTTTATTTATTTTCAAGAGAGGTCAATCAGATTATTATTCTTTTAATAATATGTTTTTATTGTAAATTTTTTATGAAAGGAGTTGGAGATTTTTTTATGAGATTATTAATATATATAATATGTGAAAAATAAATTAATAAAAAGTGCAATTTTTGTGTTAAAATTCTACATTTATTAAAGTGGTGCCGTGACCAGGATCGAAATTTTACTGGGAAAAATATTTAAATAAAGAGAAATAAATTTATAGGACGCAGTTCCTAAAGAAGATCATTTTTATTCGGGGAAGAAACTTGAAGGATCATTCGAATCTGGATTAAAAAGGTGAATAAAAATATATTGTCTTTGTTAAATATCTTGTTGCACACAATGCAATTATTGTTTAGGATAAAATTTTTATTATCAATATTTTAATGAGAACATGGTTTATTTTTTTATTAGTAATCATAGGAATTTTAACCTTAATAAAATGCATTTATAAGAATAATTTTGTTAAAGTATTTAATTCGAGTTTTGATAAATTGAATGTGACCAATTGTGTGGTTACAGCTCTAATTTTTTTCATCTTATATATTTCATTGATTTTTATTGTATATTTAATTAAGATAATTAAGAATAAGTATTTTACAAATAAAGTGAGTAAGTTAGATGATTTTAATGTTGTGGATTTGAATCCTATGTCATCTGATAAATTTTTAGATTTTTCTGAAGATCTAAAAAATAGTTTAAATTTGATTCTAATTGAACTTAGAAATTTAAATATCCAGAAAATAAATAATTCCAGTGGGAATAAGAAGTCAAATACTAGTGAAGTGCCCATTGTTGGTAAGAGTATTATGATGTCAAAAGATATAAGTGTTAGTTTAGATTCATTTATGAGTGAAATTACAGAGAAAATTTCAGAAATTGTTATTAATAAACCTGTGAAGGTTGTAAAAGATCATGATGTTACTAACAATGTTAAAAGAAATGAAAATGAATATGTAATTTCAAATGATATAAAAGAAATTAAAGAAAATTTGAAAAATATTTCTAAAGATATAGATACAATTAGGAATTAAAATCACAATCTTAGTGAAAATTGTGATATTTGTGGCCGGAGGGGTCATAGTGGGAAAAATTGTTTTTCACGTGAACGAAAAATTAATGAAAATATGAATGTAAAAGTGAATGATAAAAATGATATAATTTGTCATCGGTGTGGTTTTACCGGTCATATAAAGAAAAATTGCATAGTGAAGGAAGCCAATTTTAAAGATGGTTTTCCCAAGAGACCACCGGTATTAGTAAATCTCGTGGTACGTAATATAAAAAATTCTATTATTTTAAATGCAAGTGAAAAAGATGTGAGCAATAAAGATAATGACCGAATGTGTTTTAAATGTGAGAAAATGGGTCATGTGGCCACGAATTGTGTTCAATTTGTGAACGAATTACAATGACTATATGATTTGAAAGAGAATCATATAGAAATTAAAAAATCATATAGAAATTGAAAAATCATATAGAAATTGAAAAATCATATAGAAATTGAAAAATCATATATTAATACTAAAATTTGTAATATTTATATATAGTGTTGTTAAAGATAATTCCAATATATTTAATAAAAAAAATATTGATATTCAGAGGCCATTAAATTCAGAGTTTTAAAATATAATAAATATAATTCAGTTGATTAAAATGAATAAAATTTTAATGAGTGAAAGAGAAATTAATCATAAAAATTTTTGATAAGGGTAACATATGGGAAGAAAAGTTTTATTTATCTTAAGCAATAGAGAAGAATATTTTAATTTAAGAATTAAATTGTTATCAGTTAAAGAAAACATCTATTTTAATAAAAGTTCATGGGAATAATATCACGTGACATGGTATTAGAAAGTTCAATGAAATACATTCTTTTGTGTAGATTAATTTTTTAAAAAAAATGTATTTTTTTTAATTTAAAGAGACATTGTTGTGAAACAATGTAAAATTAAATTTTTTTTTAATATTATGTGATAAAGAAAAAACTCTTAAATAAAAGTCGGTGGACAATAAAAGATTTTATAACTTTGACCTTGTGAAGAATTATGTAAAATAAAAGAGTTTTAATAAAGGATGGAATATGATGTGATGATATAATAGTTATAATTATAAATTTAAATTTTTTATAATTATCGGCACATCTTTATATTTTTTTTTGTAACAAAAAATATGATTTTGGTGATATTATATATATAAATATATTGTAGTTTTGTATTTTTGCTATATGGCATTCTTAATATGTTTTTTGTGGTTCATATTATTTTCTTAATGGATATAATGATAATCCATGTATGTAATTTTAATAGTGATAATTATAAAGATATAAGGATATTCAATGTATGTGGTTCTAATAGTGATAATTTTAAAGATATAATGATATCCAATGTATGTAGTTTTAATAAGTGATAATTATAAATTATTTTTTTTTATTCCTATTCGTATTCTTTTATTTTGTTTGTGGTCAACTATTTGTTTTATAATTGAACATTAAGAAAAAGAAAATAATTTTAAAGGATTGTTGAATCCAAATTTATATGTATTATAAAACAAACAAAATATATTAATTATTATAATCCGCATGTCGAAAAAAAGACAATTCAAGAGTTAAAAGTCGATGATATTCAAAGGTACGATTCGATAAATGACGAGGAAATGATCAATGTCCTAAAAGAACGATAATTATATGGTATCTGGGTTTTTGAAGGGTGGGCCTGTTGCAAATGTTGAATTAAAGAGAAAAATAAAAATATTTATTTCAAGAGATGTCAATCAGATTATTATTCTTTTAATAATATGTTTTGATTGTAAAAGTAATATTTTATTTAGTGTGTTTTTTATTAACTGAGTTGTATATTTATGAATTGGAATTTGAATTATTTGATATTCGATTTTTATGATTATACTATTGGAATTTATTAGATGAAAAATAAAGTGTATGAGGGATATTTTTTGAGAAAGGTTTAGGGATAATCAAACGCTCCCTTTACTATGTACAGAGGATTAATAAAAGACGGGGCTCACAACTTAGGATGATGGCTCCGGAATGAATAAT